CGAGTCCCAGCGGGAAGCATTAGTTTTCTTGATAACGGTTTACTGCTTAGGCAAAGGTTCGACTAACTGTGCTTTGATGAAACAGACCGAGAACAGAACCCCGTTGGAAGTTGCCTAAGTGCAAACAGAATGAGGTGGTCCAACGGGGTCATGCTAGAACTGCAGCAGCGATTCGCCTCAACCCAATGAAATTCGATTAAGAACCAGGATGAGGTGCAAATCGTAAAATAAAATATGATAATTTCGAAGCTGCAAGACACCCAAGATCTGAGTGCATAAAAGTGAGAGTATAACAATACCTTGACTCCTGGGAACAGAAAATTGTTAGCGTATTGCGCCATGTACTTGCGCTTCGTCGTTATCTACAGGGTGCTTAGGCATGCTTAGTCTGCATGGTGTTGAAACACACGCACTATCAGATGCATATCGCATCATTTTGCTCACTAGACAGCCTCACCCTCATAACGAAGGATATTCAGCAGCTGGTAGTTCGTATTTGCTACCCGACGACGATCAAAATATGGCTTTATATGCCGATGTATGGTAGCGATCGTTTAACTCCTCCACTTACCGTAGTATTTGAACGATTCATGGTTCAGGGCAGCAAATACAATACATGTTAAAACAGTATAAAACCGATGATTGCTAATGCGTTTCGCTATATAGACCGTAGCATCATCAGGGCAAGGCTAAGTACACACAACCGTTTGGCGGCATTTATGTCCAACAAGCTAACAGTACTATACAATCAAAATGTTATTAAGCTGATCGGTCAGAATGTTGACCAACAAACAGTGTGAGGTTCTCATTAAAGCAAACAGATCATTGTTGTGTAAAAGTGACTTATTATATCAAATTTTCAATCGTCCCCCAGCTTTCGCTAATTACCATAGAAGATGTGTATTCGTTACACATCCGGATTTTCATTGCCAGTATGCGCAAGGAATCCTTTGCCAACAGACTTAATTTAGATTGGTCCTTGTCTGTAGCAGACACATTGGTTTGACTGAAAGAATGCCCTTCGGTGATCGCATGTTGGGCGATATCAGAATTGTCAGCCCATCGAAGGCGAACCGCAGAAAGGTGCTCTATAATCCGGCTGTTCAATTTCCGGCTGGTCTTTCCAATGTGCTTCTTGTCGCAGTCTCTGAGATAAACTTTGTATACAACGTTTAACATTTCTTCAGAATTATTAATGGCAAGCATTTTCAAATAAAATGTTTCGGTGTTCTGTCAGTCTTGTAGTAGACCCTAAACCCCTGGTCGTTAAAGTAGCTCGTGATACGCTGAAATACCATGGGTATGAGCAGCAGCATTACAATTGGGCCCCATTGGTCCGCATCAGCTGGCGACTTTTAAGTTTGAGATCGAGTGCGAAAGTTCTTCGTCAGGGTCCCTCCCTCGGTAAACGCTTGGTGAAGATGTTGGATTTCTGCGTCTAAGCCCGAAGTGCTAGTGCAGGTCTCTTGGGCTCGCAAAAGCATGTTCTTCACATCGTTCCTAAGCAATCCATGAGGGGCACGTGACGCCGGGTGTAGGTATCGATTAGCGTGTGCTGGTGTCCAGTACACGGAAACCCCAAATTCAAACAATGGCTCCTCTTCACCAGCACGTCCAGAAAGCACATTGAGTGGTTAATTTGCACCTCAGTTGTAAAGCTATTCAGCCAATTTTATTTTGTCTATTCATGTAATTCACGCAATGAACGGAAGAGGCGTGAACCTAGCGGATGCGCTTCCGATAAGAAAAGCCTGGATCGACTGTATTCAAGAAACAGAATGGTAGGTTGAGAAGTCGAAAGAGATGACGTTAACCATAAGCTCATTTACTGTGGAACACCAGGCACAAGAAATGGAGTTGAAGTGGTATTGAATGAAGCGACCAAAGGCAGGGTATTCAAAATCAACTGAATTATCACAGAATCATGGGCGTTAGGCTACCTGTGGTGCCTACGCCTCTCCCTCAGAACGAAAAGAGTAAAGCCAAAAAAGTTCATATTCTGGGACTGCCTAGGCATTGCACTACAAAACATACCGCGAAACGAAAAAGTGATGATCAGGGTTGGCTTTAACGGCTACGTCGGGAAACATGGAGAGGGGGGGGGCGTTATGCCAGGATCCATGACGGACATGGAAATGGCATGTTAAATAAGGAAGGAAAGAACATCTTGAAGGTGGCACTTGCATACCACCTGGCTCTGATAAATATGTTCTTCCAGAAAAGAGAACACCACCTGCTAACCTACAAGACGGGCAGAAAAAATGACAGATCGACTACTGCCTGCTCCAAAGGAAGGAATTGCACAATTTCAGAGACTGCAAGGTCATCTCCGCGGAAACTGTCACAAGTCAGAACCAGCTACCGGTCCAAGACCTCTCTCTGAAACAGCCCATTCAGAGGGTGGGCTCGGCGACAGCCCGAAAGCCACAGAGGGGAAAGCTGGAACGGAAGCTGAAAGAAGCATCGAACAGCCTTTGAAAAGAACGGCCATCGACTCAGCACTGGTCAGTCAGAATAGATGGCCGGCTATTTCAGTGGTGGAAAACAGATTGAAAGCCAGTGAAAGCAGCGGAAAGCATGCTTCCCTAAATCAAAGAATTGAACTACTGTGGTCTCATCCCGCAAGATAATGCGGAAATCAACAGTGAGGTAAGAAATCGGTCGAAACAAGTTTGCCTGAAATGACGAGAAGTGAGCGGAGTGCTGTGTGACAAGTATTGAGGCCAATCAGACTGAATGGAAGGTGTACAGAACGATAGTAAAATCGATGTTTCTGATCGGAGCAGAATGTTTGGCTACCCTGAGGAGACACTAGCAACAGCCAAACTAGGTAGAAATGCGAATGCTCAGACACATGTGTAACGTCAGCGGAAAGGAGCACACTCGAAACGGCTTCAGAGGAGGCACTCGAGACGTAGCGCCATATTCAGAGAAGTTTATCGAAGGCAAGCTCTATCAGTTCAGTCATGTGGAAAGAAGACCCTGATCGAGTACGTTAGAAATGTGGTCCATGCACTGAAACCGTCAGGCAACAAAAGAACCAAAGATTGGATGGAGTATATAGGACGATAAGGAGTCACCAAAAAATTAGCCAACGACTCACAAATGTGAAGGAGGTTCCCTTTTAGCGGAATAGTGTCAAAGGACACATGCCACAAAAGAGAAAAACTGTACTGTTGCTGATCTCTATGACTAGGTATCTTCGGTATGTGTATATATTACAGTCGGTGCCGAAGACGAGTATCCTTCTGGGTTCCATGTGCTTCACTTACAAAAGTGTTCTATTACAGACTTCTAACCGTATATTACTTTAACCTATTAGCCTAACAAGCTGTACATGTCTTTCAGAAGTGTAATCTTTCTGAACGGATTCATCTGAAGACGTAAATAGATATGTCATCTATGGCTATCTTATCATTTGTGGGTTCATGACTTCCCTTGAGACTGTCGTTGAAACTGAAATGGAGGCACTCAACTGCGCCTCATCCCATACATTGACCGTTGCTTGCGGCCCGGTACCCCCGCTTCATGGAAGAAGATTCATGTAAATACTGACGGTAAGAAATGATGACAATTTATGAATCGATTCATGAATCACAAATCACGCCTTGCCTCGATATGTCTTCCTTGTTGCCTACCCGGTCGTAAATTGTTGACACTTAATAAGAATATACTTTCCCTGCATTCATGGTAGAAACACGCCAGCTTCAATGTAGCGCTGCTGCGCATAAGACACTGGCTGAACAGACAATTTTGCTGTGAGTAAGTGTTCTCATGCCTTGTGCGTTGAAGCCATCAGTGATGATACGATATGACTACTGTACAGCCATGGCTGATAAGCGATTGGTTTGCTGTTCGACATCACCGATAGGTTTTGATCACGTGTTAGCGATTCTATTGCCCAGTTGTCACCCAGAATTCATCACTTGGATATAAAGCTCCGCGTTCAAGTGCACATATCAGATCCTGGTGATGAACGTATATCTTTGCAGTTGTCAGAAGCGGCCGGCTCGTGAGAAATTATGGATTTTGAATAAAATGGCATAAAGCTACTAAGCCCTATCTGTTGTTCAAAGCTACACGAATAAGTACTAAAAAACAAATACTGATACCGGATTTACATTGCGGGTACATACCGTGTAAAGAAGGAAAAATTTATTTCGTGCTTTACCCAAGCACTGTGGCAATGTAAGATAGATGGAATTCTTACACCGGGTTCAACCG